AGAGAGAGAGAGAGAGAGAGAGAGAGAGAGAGAGAGAAAAGTCCGGGTCCAAAGAAACAAACTGTTTAACAACGGCCCCCGTACGGGCCGAACCCGCAGAAACGAACCCAAGGGAAGACTCGCTGGTGTTCTCCGAGGGCTTAGGCCTAGCCTTAGACCTCGCCCCATCCCTACCCCTCCTACCCGACTTACCTGCACCTCCTCGCGGGCGGGGAGAACTACCGGCAGGTGTCGGCTGCCAGGCACGGCAAATGTAACAAGGCTGCTCCAGAGAGCACAAACGCGAACACGTGGCCGGAGCCTGGTCGCAAAACGGCGCAAAATAAAAGCAAAACGCTAAATTAAAAGAAAAATAAGTAATATACAATGTAGTATAAAGGATACAATATATCGGTACAAACAACGCCAGTAGCAGTTGGAACCCCGTAGTAAAAAAAACAAAAAACGTCCGTAAACACGGAAGGCTGATGGAATTATGAAGAGGGAAGCATGGCTTCGTGTCTGATCACATGCATTAACGTAAAATTAGAAAAAAGGGCGATATCAAAACATTGTATCGTAGAGTGTGTAATGTTTGTAATTTAGATGATGTTGAAGTTCATGTTATTCTGATTTGCGAGCAATTGTTTTGAAAACTTATTATATTAGAAAGCCAAGCATGTTTAAATTGAAAGGACTACTGAGTGTGAAAAATACAAAAGAAATAACGAACTTAGGGATATACATAAAATTTTGCAAAATCGAGAAGACCTTAATTATTATAAATAGATACAGTTGCACTTGAAATTGTGTTGTGAGTGTGTATAATGTTGTGTAATGTTATTTTGTATTTTGCACAGTAAATAACACAAATGTTGTTACTTTGTAACTGGTGAGTCGAACGACTCAAAGTAATAAAGAACTTGAACCTGGCGATGAGGCTACGTACATGCATGACAAAACATTAAATATTGTAGCACTTACACTTACATGTATTGAGCACAGATAAACAAAATTTTATGTAGTTTTGCCACTCATCTATTGTGGCGTTGTCTATAAAAAGTATGACAACGGTCAGGGACGTATACTTTAAAGCGAAACAGTTTCACTTGCTTTTGTGTGCGGTACTATTCCCCATCACCAGTTCCACGAAAAAGTACTTAATTATGGAGACTCTTTCACCTGAAATTTCAGGGAAATGACATCATCTTCCCTCAACGCCAATAACGTGTTCATGTGGAACTAGAGATAAGAGGTTGTGAGCAGCCTCACACAAAAATATACATGTATAACCCCCCACCCCCACCCCCAAGGACAAAATGTTTTAAATGAGTGATAAATGTATCTATTAAATAAACCCTTCCCCATACCCATATCCTTTTTCTTTGCTCTACTCTACCATGACTAATTGTACCTGGAGCCTGATCAGGAAGATATCGCCCTAAGCCCCCAACCTCCCTGATCCACGCCTGTTTGGGTACAAACGTACATGTACAAACTGAGAAATAGATATATTGAAGTTTGACTGTGGTCTCAGTCCCTATGTTATCTGACATCAGACCCCTATACCCTCTGCAGTACACAGCCCTCAGGGTGTGTCAGACAGTCATAGTTTCTCCAGTACCAGGATTCAGACAGGTAAGATTTACCTGTAGAAAGTCAGTATAGATATCTACATTTTGTATGATCGATAAAGAAAACCTATATTCTTATTAATACCAAAGGTGCATATCATGAATGAAAAAATACATATATTTAGTACATATTATTTTTCTTATTCATAATAGTTTCCTACATGCACAAGCTTCCCTTTCAAACTGAAAATAATGATATACATTATCGCGCACTCAATCATATATAATAACTCCCGTAACGATATACATGTACAATGTAGACTTAAACAAGGCTCCTCGTAGCCTACAGTTTACTGACATTCTTTCCTATGCATTGTGTGTATATTATTTTCGTTTTAGATATTTTATATGCTTCCGCTTTTTATGTAAACCTGTTCTTGTCGCCACCAACGAATCACCGTTTGTAAGCGTCATCAGTAGCACCTCCGTACCGTTTGCGTAACACTTCCGTACCGTTTGCGTAGCACATGCGTACCGTTTCCGTACCGTTTGCGTAGCACTCCCGTACCATTTCCGTAGCACTTCCGTACCGTTTCCGTAACACTTCCGTACCGTTTGCGTCGCAGGTGGAACAGCGAACGTGTACGGGTCTGTATAAATCATATTTTTATGAAATCTTAGAATTCACCACGCTCTAGTTTGCAATCTCGCAGTAAACATGGAATCCAATCCTTTTTAATTCCAGAAGGGTGTGCTCACTTACGTTCTATGTACCCCTGGAATATTTAATGCCGAATTCGAATGCTCTGAATCTGCCACTTTGAAGATGATTCAGGAAGATTAGTTCGATCAGTTAAGATACAACAAACAACAACACAGCAGTTGACCGTGTTTTTAATCGGTTGTCGTTCCTATGTTATCTACAAAGAACAGGTAACAGCCTAACGGTTGTTCAGTTTTTCACCTGATACCAATCAAATGAATAACCGCGGGCCTTCGATTTTGCGATGGCATGTTCCAGAGGTGCATAGAACATAAGTAAGCGTAACCCTGGAACTTCGAGCATGAAGGAGCCATTTTTTGCAGACCTGGACTTTTCTGTGTCAAATGCATTTGGTCATATAAATGCGATACAATTGATCATCCGTTAATATACCGTAAAACAAACAAAGGTTGTATTTGTTGTATGGTGACTGATACTAACGGATCGAATCGGAGCCGAAATTCATTGGAACATTAGGTATAACGAAAACGGAACCGAAACAAGATACATTAAGTTCTTAAGGAAATCAACTAAGTATAAAACAGATAGTATGCGTCAGAAAGGAACTGAAAATGACCAAGATGAATATGGCTGTGGATTTGTTTCATAACCTTAAGCTATGTTTCTTGTCACAATATCCTAAATATATATACTGTTTATACCATTTATACCAGGTTTTTCATGTTTCTTTCTTTCGTTAAAATGTGTTCCATGTCTTCGTGTTAAGTACTTATTTAGAACTACTGATACAATTAATTTGTCCATATTAAGGAGATATATTTTCTTATGTCAACATAAAGATAACGACTGTACTATCGACGTCATGCCTTATCCTCGATACTCCAGGAGTGACGCTCACTTTTGCTTTCTGCACCCCTGGAATATGTCATAACAAATTCAAACGGTCGGTATGCGCTACCTTGTGGATGAGACAAGAGAACTAGTTTGATCTGTGTCGAATTTTATCAAATTTGGACAACAAATTTGGACAACTTCAAATATTTCGTTTCGATGCCGTTTAGGTGATTCGCTGCATTGAAAATTATTAACTAAAACGCCATACTCAGGCAGTTGAACCCCCAGTACAGGTTGACACGAGTTTTCTGTGTGTTTATAACCTATAGCCCTGCATTAACTTTCACTTACTGATACGGTCCAGTACAACCAAACAGTAACGGTCTCGGCCTTGCCTTTGTTAACGGTCAACCAGTGACATTAAGATAAACAGCAAGTAGCACGCACCCATCTAAACTGTTTAAGAATGTTTTACTGACGTTTGGCTAATGAGCATCTACGGTGGCTGCCCCGGCCTCTTCTTGGTCGAAATTTATATATTGACTGATTTCGAGCAAATTTGGTACATATGTAAGTAGATGTATTCTGTTTATACCAACAGTACAGTGACTTCAAGGAACATCATTTTAGACAGAGAGGGTACTTTAGGGGACTTTTGTAAAGGCCGCCGTCATAATTAGAACTTGTTTAGTTAAAGGATGATGTCACATGTCACAAATAGAATCAATAGAATCTGCACCATTTCACATCTAGTTCTGATGATCTAGTTATTAAACATACCACGTTACTGTTCATTACAAAACTTTCTTTTCAGGTACAGATTCTTTAGGATACACAAGTACGAATCTGGCTGTAATACATTGGTTTTACTCATTGATTATCCTTACAGTCACTCCAGTTGTGACAGTAACCCCTTTTCTCCTCAAACACCATATATACGTTTTGTACCTGATGGAAAACACGCCGGCAGAGGTAAAGTTTCAGAGTCATTAATCAGATAATGCTGTAAGATTTGATATGTAAACATCGTTTTGCATTTGGAGGTACTATTAAGAAATCTAGAGTACAGTGTAATAATCCTATCCAGGAACATTCTGTCAATAATATTTTTTTGCTGTATGCACTTTATAGCTGAATTACAAACAACTATAAACAGACAAGAATTTATGACTTTTGTATGGCAATTTCCGATATGATCCGAAAAATTGCAATATTACCAAGCTACAAGAAATATTATAATGATTGATCTTGATCATTTTTGTTCATCTATCTGTTTCAGATACTCATGCAGACGAAATAGCAATTTACTTTGTAAAAGGTAATGTTAGTTTATTTGTTACCGATAACAATGTAAGTGGTTTTTTTACCCTTACTATTCAATACAACATTTTCTGACACTGACATTCGATTTCATGTTTGAAAATGTTATATCATAGAATATGGAATTCGCAGCAAGAGGTACAAAAATTAAATTCTTCATTATTATTTATCTAGACGGATTGGCTGGTATGAAACCTGTCCCAGATTTACCCTGGAGAAATCCGTCCTGGGACATTGCCTCTGTCGATGACAAAAATCTCCTCGGCGGTTTGTATGTGACAGAAGCCAACTACGACATGGCCAGTTTCGTGGTGACCGGTCGGGAAATTGGCTGTGGTGCACAACTCCAAATATGGTTAAATGGTAAGGCATCAATATACACGGATTTGACGCAGCTCCTGGTTAGTTTATTTAATTGTATTGATATAAAAATAGGAATGTTTACAAACCCGAAATGTCCGTGCAACTTTATAAACGGAAAACAAATACGTCATCGTCTAAACAAAAAGAAACAATATTATTACAAAATCGTATTCTGCAAATTACTACACGTACTTTAATCCTGACATCTGGCATTACATTAACAAAGACAATATGTCACAATTGTAGACACCTTACCGGGGAATGATGGCGGGTTTCATGAAAAGAGAGTTTGCATGACCAATAGATATAATGACGATATCTGCAAGCACAACTTTACTGTTGACGTCATGAACTGTGGAGACAGACGTGTGTATCGGCTGCCTGAACTGACCAGTGACCAGTACGATATAGGAACACAGTCAGTGGCTTACTGCTTCGGTAAGTGGTAAAAGTTTACTGACAACTAATAGGTACTACTTAGGAACACAATTAGTGGCTTACAGCTTCGATAAGTTATAAAAGTGAACTGACCAGTGGTAAGAACGACATAGGAATATAATCAGTTATAGCAGATACGCTAAGTTATCACAGTGAACTGACCAATAACCAGTACGACATAGGAACCCAATCAGTGGCTCACTGCTTCTATAAGATATCACGGGAAACTGACCAGTGACAGATACAACAAAGGAACCCAATCAGAGGCTCACTGCTTTGATAAATTATCACAGTTCACGAATATATTTTACGTTTAGTTTGGAGTGAAACGAATGCATTTACATATTTATTTCAAAGTGTTACCATTTAACAATTAACTTGAACTAAAATATTCCTCTCTTAAAAAGTTGATAACAACTTAATGTCCTTATAAACATTAATAAGGATCAACAACTCTCTGTCAAACATAAAGAAACGTTCCAGAAATAAATGTTGAAAAACACATATACGTTGTTTCCAAGATGTAATTTGATGATGATATGGACAAGATTAATGGTCGCCACTATGTCCTCATTGTGAAATAAGCTATCTCTTAATGTAATATGAAGGTCGGTGTTTTGTATGGTCCTTATTAGTATGAATTATGGTTTTGTTTTCAATAATTGCGTTCTCGATGTTAGCACGTGACGTTACTTAAAGCTGATATATATTTACATTACAGATGTCGTCGATGACGCAAAAAGCTTATCCTTCCCCGAGAGCCTGGTCTTATTCACCTTTTTTGCATTTTGTAAATGTCCCTTTGTTCGTAATTTGCACTAGTTTTATTTATTTTGAGTTACAATTATAGTTTCGTGGACACATCTGCGTTCTCTCTTTCTTTTCTTTTCTGGCACTCTGTCGTATATTCCACAGATGTTGCGGGATTGATTGACCCTTGTTCGTCGTCCACACCATCACAAATCCCAAACCTAGAAAATCGTCGTCCTACAAATTCCCACGCTATACATGCAAGTGACCATTTGGTAGAAGACTGGTATTCAGGTGGACATTATCAGCTACTTAGATGGAGTCCTGACCTAGATCAACCTCGGTGTGGGGCTGAATCCCAGATTTGGATGAATGGTGAGTGATCTAACGAAATTTATTTCTACTTTATTAAGAACACGCTAGTTCAACCGATTTGTTAAAAATAAAATACATCCAAACTTACATTAACTTGTGACACATATTCGTCCCAATATATATTTTCCCATACATTAAAAAGATGTGAAACTACGCTTTGTTACCAAGATAACATTTTATCTGATAACATATGGGAAGACAGCCATCTTGGCGGGACAGAGACTATCCAGTTACTAACTGAATTGACAGATAAAAAATAAGCGAATACACAAACGATACATTTTAATGGGCAAACGATTCTTCTCTATATTGTTAAACTAGTCGGCGTTTCACAGGCGTCAAAAATGCCAAGAAGCTCCTGGTATAAATTTGATTTTTTTTTTATCTATTTATTTGTTGTTGTTTTTATAATAAACGAAAACAAAATCTTAATCTACATTTCTTGACTCCTATGTCAATCCAACCTAGGCCGCAATGTATAAATTATCTCATCCCTAGTCAACAGAAAAGTTTTGGCCTTTCCTGCATACAATAAGTTTATTCTGAATAAGAGCATTTTACATTTTTTAATAGCACTATTGCTCGCTCTGTATTCTTGTACAGGGTACTACTACACATATGATGTTTAAATATTGATAACTCACCGGATTCTCTCTTAATATGCTCTGTAAACACGATGTGAAAGGTTGCACACTTTTTCAGTATTATCTGTCTATTAACAAGATAAGAAACAAAAATGGAGGTGCACAACTTCCATCAACATGGTATAATAGAATATCGTAAATTATTTTAAAGAATCGTTCATGAAAAGCACCACAAAGTCCTGAATAAAATAAGCTGAAGATGAGATAGCGAGAAAGATGTCAATATTAGCTCACGAAAACATTCAGGGGAGGCCGGACTTACCGCGGGGCCGGACTTGCCTCGGTCTCCCTATCATGACTTTCGGAACAGATGCCGACTGCTAAGAGAAAAAACTTCAAAAGCGGCATTTCTGGAGAAGCATGGTTATGTAGATTATGGAGAAGCGTTATGACTGCCGTCAGGGATCTTATAGTGAAATGGGATACTTCTCCGTGTGATATGAATACGCTCACTACTTACCAAAGATAAGCTAGGCGACTCTGATTTTCCTATCATGAACTTTCTTACGTCTTGATAGAAACATCCGAGCTGTTTACAAATCATATGATTTTGATAACAACTTTCAACAGGTTATATGCACACCATCATGATATCAAAGAGAAATTTGCCAATTCTTTTTATGATACGAATGTCGGTTATTGTAATGCATATGAGGCGATACCGATGCAACGATTTTTCACAAATCTTAGTTACCTAATTGATCGCCTCAAAGTTTGTTTTTCTTAAATTGACTCGTCTACGTCGCGTTTACAAATTATTGTGTTGCTTCAGATCTAACACGAGTTTGTATTTATCGTAAAGTTAACCTTTTTTTTATTTTTGACTTCCTCGAGTTCAGTTTACTTATTTCCTTAAGCTTTACAGCTCATCAGTTGGACATATATACAGTACAACATAAAGTAAACAATGAAACAACAACACACATACACACCACTTCCGCACCTACTCCTAGAAGTGTAGCGAGAAATATTGCACTGCTTGAAATAATGTAATTAATAGTAGCATATCATTTGATGATAAGGACATATTAATGTATACTAGCGGAAAAAGGGAACTGTGCATGCGGAGAATTGTTATAGAACATGTATTACCAACTGTATATACATGAAAATTCACACACAAGACCGAGTATGACACATACACACTATCCGTGTGTCATTGACAGTTTTTTCCGTGCAGTTTGCTCTCTATAGGCATTGACCAGTTTGCACGTTTTTGTCGTCCAGCCAACTAATTCGACAATGAAAGTTTATTTTTCAACTGTTGGGTCACTCTGTTGAGACCAGTGAACAGTAAAAACAGCATTATAACGTTTTAGTTTGTGATTAATGCTATGCCGAGGCACAATGAAAATGACCGCCTCCGGATTATTGGTATGCTGCAAGCTGGTATGGGCCAAGCCGTTGTCTCTATACGTTTTCATGTCCATCGAAACACAATCCGGGATTTGTGGAGAGGACATCAACAGTTTGGCCACGTCGGCGATCGACCTCGTGCGGGACGTCCACGTGTGACGTCACGTCAACAGGAAAACCATATTCGGCTTGTCCATTTGAGAAATCGCTTCCAAACGGCAAGTTTGACTGCACAGACAATCCCTGGGTTGCTACCAATAAGCCCGCGAACTGTACGAAACCGATTGTGTGAACGAGCTATCCGTCCGCGACGTCCTGCAATCTACGTCATCGTGTAGCACGTCTGGACTGGTGCAGAAGGCATCTGCGATTTTCTCGACGGGATTGGGCAGGCATTTTGTTTACGGACGAGTCGCGAGTCCATCTGGATAATAGTGACGGCCGTTCTAGAGTGTATCGTCGTTGGAGTACGTTTTCGTGGCGCGTGTGTGGTACAACGACGTTCTTTCGGCGGAGGCAGCGTTGTGATTTGGGGCGGCCTCACAGCCAACGGGAGAACGCCTCTGTAGGTTGTTAACGGGAATTTGAACGCGCTACGTTACCGTGACGAGATCCTCCGAACCAACGTCGTTCCATTCGTACAAGGGCAGCAACGTCACTTTACGCTACAGCAGTACAACGCCAGGCCACAAACAGCTCGTGTCGCTACGGACTTTCTGGCCCAGCAGAACGTTGACGTGTTGCCCTGGCCTGCTGTATCCCCCGATCTGTCGCCCATTGAACACGTCTGGGATGAAAAGAAGCGCAGATTACGGGCATTACCTAATAAACCGGTGACGTTGGTTGCTTTGGCTGCAGCCTTGGTACAGATCGGGAATGCCATCCCACAAGCATTCTTGAACCGTCTGATAGGCTCCATGCATCGACGTTGCCAGGCTTGCATTCAGGCAAACGGTGGACATACGAGGTATTAACTTTGTGAACTCAGTATTGACCCCTGCTGTGTTTACGTTACTCCTGAGCGGAACTTATTGATTCCATAACGTGGCTAATGGAATGCAACTGTTAATAAATAACAAATATATTGTCTCTGAAAACCTTGTTGTTCTACGTGATACACATTTATTTTTATAACACATTTTAGGCATGCACAGTTTCTTTTTTCCGCTAGTTTATAACTGACAAACACTAGATACAATTGACTTAATTTAGTACATTTTGTCGTCTTCTACTAGCGATTCTTACATAGTTGGTCAAATTAGTTATGTATTTCTTATTTTCTGTGGATAACAACTTAATGTATGCATACTTGTATGTCTGTATAGAAAGGTTTAATAAATGAATTGTATAAACCGGAATAAAATGGACATTTAAGAACAAAATGATATTCGTCTTCTACATCATTAGAGGCACATAACGAACAAACCCTGTTTCTGTGTTCAATACCTTGGTATCTACCAATTTCTACGTTAAGTTTATGAGAAAATGTTCTAATCCTTACTTACTCCTTCAAGTGTTGAATATCAATAGATTTTTTAAGTAACTTTATAAACCAAACTCATCACAGAGATATTTGTATAGATTACATTTAGAAGAACTGGTTTTTTTTATGAAACGTCCCTGTTTGAAAAAATCCGTGATTCATCTTGTATGTCTTTTACTTCCACAAAATAGCTTAATCCGATCCTAAACATTTTTTTTATATATTCATAAGCCAATGTTCTTCACAGTCAGACATTTCTTCATAACATGCCTGAAGTATACAATTATCTGAATTACCAAGTAGATTTTTACATAAACTTAAATGTAACTTTTCTATATCTGCTGCCTTAGGACTTCCCTATATTTCAGACCCATAGTTTTTAATGCTAGCGACATTACGTATCGAATACCGACAATATTGTTTCAAAATTTAAATAATGTTTTTGACAATCTTTTATAACAGCAAATAATGCTTTACGACCTTGTTCTGCTACTTTTTGTCGCGTTTTACGAAACTTTCTGTTATAATTCAAAAAACGCCAAGGTAATTAAACTCATCTACAATGACTAAATGGACCCCATTATATGTCCAGTATTCATTGTCATTCAATTGACCATCATTTCTAAAAACAATCACTTTAGTCTTGTTAGTATTCCCATTTATAAGTATAATTTAAAAAAGAATCTAGCATTTTTTAAAGACGTTGGATTTAATGTGTTCATAGAATAATAAATTGCCCTTGAGTAGCGAATCATATCTGTACGCACCCATCATTCGGCCTTAGCTTGACCTCTAATATATAAAGTTATCTTTCATAGGAACATTTCCTGCTGCTGACGGCATGCACCATGTGAGACAGTTATGCACCACTAACCGGACAACTGGAGACACTTGTTTTGTTGACACACAGTATACGTACGTCAAAAACTGTACGACACACATCATGTACTACCTTACTACACCTGCTGAGAACAGCGCGTATTGCTTCGGTGAGTAGTTTGTGATACGCATGATTTTCGGTATAGATAATAAGTCACATGTTGTACCGGGTCAAACTTTTCATAATATCCTCGTATTCAGGTTACATATTATCAATGCCTGAATGTTTTGCCATAAAAACATTGTGATAATTAATTTCGATATGCAACTTCACTACCGCGATGTCTATCTAAAATATCTTCATCCTCCTCTAATAATTCTATTATCATTTACCTGGAATATAGTATTTGGATGATACGTCTTAAAGTACCGGACCTAAAAGAACACAATAAGTTATTTTTAGTTGATTGCTGAAATTGTAGAGAACCTTTCTATAAGAAATTCAAAGTTTATACTTGTCGTTGATTTTTTTTATCAATTCTTCGGCACGCACATGTGTATTCTGTACTTATTGCCAGGCGTAAGCGATTCTATGGTCGAGTAATTCAAGGAATTAACATAAGGAAGCATAACAATTATATCACTTTCATTGTTTTTTTTAACGAAATTTTACCCTCAAATATCCTGTTTTATAAACAAGCAAGATAACTTTGGGGGAACATTAAATCGATGTCGATTCTGAAGGTAAATTGACTTTGTACTTGTATGCAGCTTGCGTTATGTATAGACAAACTGTCGAACGAAAAGTCTCGGGGCTTACAAAACACCTCGATCGTAAAGACTTCAGTATCATACGCGGAAAAGTAGAACGCTTTTGAATGGTACTGTTATTTAAATTAAATGCACTTTGAAAACTCAACGTTAACTTATCAAATCCTTAGAATAATTGTTTGGCAAAACGTTATTGGTAATACGATGGCTCAATACGATTTTAGGTGATAATTTCAAAACATTTTAGCAATATTATTTCAGTTATTTGAATTCTACATTCGAATTCGAAGACTCTTCTTAACAGATAGGACACATGTCAATTAATAGATAGGACACATGTCAATTAATAGAGAGGACACATGTCAATAAAGCCCTATACATGGACAAAAGGCGTGAGGACATATACGTTATAGTTTCTATCAAATAATAGTATCTGCCCTTCCGACCTGGGTGAGTTCAACCAATCTGTTAGGTTGATTATTTTCCAACGCAAGATAAAACAGTCCTTTGTTAAAGGAACCATTCTGGTTGTCACTTGCAAGATATGCTGTATGTTTAAATAATATTTGTATCTATTGTCTTTGATCTTTTGACATATTGTTCGTCACTATTTCGGCTTGATCATGACAATCCATTCTTTTTAGGTTTTATTTTTTTAACTTCATAGCTTAGTAATATTAATTGCTACTTCAAGCAAACAAAACTTGATTTATAACAAAACAGTACAATGTCAGCGCGCTAAACAAAAGTACAGTGTCAACATCGTGGGACAAAATAAGAAAAAGACATACCAGCATCTTGTTATATTTAAGGTTGTTGACACTTTAAGGAACTTTACTATCATTTTTTTTACATTTCTTATACTTTCTTAGAAAAGAAGTGAAACTTCCGAAAGATAGGTGAAACTCTGGTCTATCCTAGGTACTAAAAACTATATTAATTTTACCTATCAGGTTTATATTACCATATTGTAGTTTAAAATTATTGATAATGTCATCATCTTGTAGTCGGGAAATCTTGTCATTGTTATTATAATTATATCACAATGTTGTGATGTAGACGTCGTTTCCCAAAACAAATAAGGAATCACGAATCAGTCAATAAAAAACTTAAAAAATTAATTATACCGTGGCATTGGTAGATAGATTTTCACTTACAACACGTTTGAATCACTTGTAATGGCAAACGTTTAAACGAAAATGGATTTGTTTTATTCAATGCATCTCTTGCCTGTTTTTTGTTTCTTCCCTTTGCCTTCTGACAATTCTATTTTTTAGATTCAAGTCCAGTCATACAGACAAATATGACCTTTTATTTCTTTATCTTGCAGGTTTTCATTTTACTAACGCTCATTTCGGATGTTTTGTGTTGTAATCAAGTTGTCGTTGATTAAATATCTATGAAGAGTATTCGATCTCTTTTGAACTGATGACATTGTGAGAAATTAATTCTCTATATGTTCGGAAATATGTTTCATATTACGGAGTAATAATGATGTCTTATTTTTTCCAGATATCCCATCAGATTCTAATGGTATGTGTTACCTTTGTTCATCTGTCAATACTTTATCACAGAAAATGTGTAGTAAATCAGATTTGAATCAAAACTCATCTTTCTTTCATTTTGTTTTCTTTAATGCATTGCATTCTGCTCTGGTCCTACATACATAGTTATGCGAATACTTGAAATCTTGCAGACACATATGTGAGTGAACTAAAATATCTGATCTTATTCTATTAGACCCTCCCCCATCCTATCTACCAACAACTGTCAAAATCAAGTACGAACTGCATTGGGTTGATGTACCGAACGGAAACGGAGCTAATTTTTGATATTTATTACATTCGATTCAGCGAGTTGTTTGTTTGATTTGTCAATAGGTTTGATTATATGTCTGCTCGGTCCATGTGGATCCTCGACCAACACCTACCCCGAGCTATATATTGCGTCATAATGTACTTACGCTGAGTTTTGTTGTTTTTATTTTACCTGACGAAACTGATCATTATTGCAAGCATATAACTCTTTGTTTAATTTTACTCGAATGGTTAGTAGCAAATCAAATATACAAAGTACAATGATATCACCCCCTATCCCCCTCCTACAAAAATATATACATGTATGAAAAGTTAAAGCATTACTGAATGAACACATTACCTAGAAAGTCAATCCTCTCAATCCTCAGTTTGTATATCTCATTATTGTTTTTGTATTTTTGTGTACAGTTGATGAACCACTCGGTGTCTGTTGAGCGAGGTAAAGGCGGTTCTGTGTACTTCCAACAAACAGTCCCCTTTGGCTGTATGTACCATCCGTCTAATGGAGAGCGAGGCTGTACACTTACAGTCTATATACTCAAGACGTCTTCAGAAAATATGTGTACTAGTAACACGATTCGCCACCATAATAAATGCGCCAAGGTGTTAACAGGTGTAACCAAGTCAACCAATGTTGGCAGCGATACCTGGATACCAACGTTGTACGAGTTCGACATCGTACCAATTGACAGCAAACTTGGCACCTACAACCTTTTAAATAACCAGTTCGTATTCAAGCTTCAAACACAGAGACCTCATCACCAGTTCTGGAGAAACGCTATATCAGATCAAGTTAACGTGAGTAGTCAACTTAATATTTGTGGTTTTTTTTGTATTCACCGGGTTGATCCTTATCGACCACTGAGCAATATTTTCTGGATTTCATATCTTCAAATTCAAATGCTGCCTTTAGGCAGTTAACAGATAAAAGTCATTTTTTTTATATGATAGGTGAACGTGTTCGATGCGGCAGACGGCAAGTTCTGGCAAGGAAAACGCTGTCAGGTGTACTGTGATCCTCATATGAAGTCATTCGATGGCATGTAAGTATAACAGGAAACAGTGTAACTCTAGAACTAATTGCTATCCAGTTATGAAGCTGTACATGTGATAAAACGGAATTGGAATTGCTCCACAAACAGTATCTTTATAATTCATTAAACATTTTCGGAAAAATATAATGTAAGCATGCAGTAAACTAGGTTGCAGTAGAATCAGATTCAAGATAAGTTGTTTTAATAATCCAGTTTGATAATGCTTATAACGTTATATTCCGTGAATATTGTTATGTATGGAAAAGTCCTCTTTGCATATCAAGGGAAACCGGCCTGTGATTTTTATGGATTCTGATGATAGCTTTTTAGAGTCAACGCTGACGTTTTGCTATACCTTTTCTGTTCTAGGGCTTATGAATTGCAATACCCAGGGAAGTTCATGTTATTGAAGAGTGAAAATCCACCGATGCAGGTAAAACTAAAAATATCTAATACGTTCCTACATCGATCTATATTACAAAACAGATCTGATTTATGAAAACAAAATAAACTTCTGATTACATAACGACTCAGAATAAGTGTTTTACATTACCAGGTACAGGTGCAGATAACGTCTTGCAATGGCAACAATCGTACCCCATACTGTGCCTGCGGACTTGTAGCGGTTGCTGGAAAAGATGTTTTTCAAATTTATACGTGCAATGGTCACAGAGACATCAACTACAAATCATGTAAGGATGGTGTTCTGAAGGTGGAGAGAAAATCATCGAAGATATATAAAGTAAGTCATGTTTGTAGAAAGAATGGTATGAGAAAGCAAAATGCAGCAATGCTAACCCTATACATTATCTTATTCTTTAGTGTAAGCCTCATATTTATATTTAAGGCAATTTAAGCTCGTGTCTCCATATGAATAATGCTTACGTGTGGGTTGGAGACAGTATGTTGATGTGTTTTCTCCCTTACAATAGTGTAGATCGGATGCCGATTTCAGGGGACTACCTCACTGAAATACCATGATGTAGGAACTGAGCACACCATTGTAACCAGTCACAGTATACTGACAATAGGTAACGCTACCAACTTTAATTTCAACGTCAAGCAGCAAGTACCAATATAAAGGACATTCTAATTCATTTGAGATGTAACGCGACATTTGATAGGTCAATTAAAATAATTTGCGACTGTATATTTACCTCGATATACCGTCCGCAAAATTCTCATTTGCATATGAAGACCGGATGGGGATTGTTAATGACGTCCGTGACCCCAGCTGACAGACACGTCATAGAAGTGTTTATTCATGACGTTACGAACAATAGCATGACCCCAAAAGGTCACTGTAATTCGCCTCACCTGAATATTCCTGACATCACTAATCCAAGGTACTGTGACCCAGAACTTGAAGATAACCCTACTGTATTTTGAAATTTGCGGCGGTAAATCGTGATTATATTGTCGCGAGTTGAGTTTTGCTTGCGATGCGGAGCGGGTTACCCCTTAATTGGTTTGTCTCAGTGGAGGG